GAGCAGCTAGTAGTTTCGAACTACTGACCTTGCAGTTCGCAGCTCGATTCGTAACCACTACGCTACCAGAGCTCCTTAACTATAGCTCAAAAAAATATTTAGCATATTTATTTATTCTTTATTGCTTGTTTTTTTTTTTTTTTAGGGTTACAGTTAGGTTTATTTATTTATTTTTATTGCTTGTTTTTTATAACCTAAAAGTCTCTTATATTTGTGCTCATTTAATTATATATTGTTAGCCTGTACCATATTATAGGACGGGAGACAGTCATCTTTTGGTTAGAGTTAGTAAATGCACCATAGGATAAGTACTCGACCTCAAGGTTGATTTGAACCACAAGTTGTCAGTTCAAACCCACCAGTCACTCCTCAGAAACCCCATACAGGATTACTATGAGTCAGAACCAGCTTGACGGCACTTAACAACAACAATGGCATATACATCAAGTTATTTGGAGAATTGATGCTTGTTTCTTCATTTATTCCCAGATAATTTTGTTCTTCCAACACAATACAGCAGCAAAATACATTTTGTATCTTTAAAACATACACTTACACACACACACCCACAGGCAGTTTTAACATCAAACACCTATTAACTGGAACACTGTGTGTTCTACAGAAAAATCTTAATTTAGAATTTAAAAATTACATGGTCATAAAATATGTTTCCAACTAAATTTACTCCAAAACTTGAAGTAAAAAATTATGATAATAGACAGAATACACTCAATTATTCAGCACATACTTTTCAGCACCTACTACAGGTTAGTCAGTATATTAGTTGCTAACATTTAATGTTGTCATAACAGCAGTCAGCATAATAAATGTTAAAATAATTGAAGTAATGAAACTCGAAACAGTTACAAACTGTGGGCTTAGTTAATAACCAGGACAAGCCAAGGCCCCTGTGGTGGGCAATGATATGGACAAGAGAATGCCTAAACGGTGTGCATTTTCTATGTTTAAAGGGCAGGTATGAAAACTTTTAGTGAAATATGTCATTTAAACATCTAGACCTTTTCTCTTGCTGAAAGTTGTAGAGCATTTAGGTAGGATAGATTTATATTAACAAAGAACAGTATAATTTTCAGTGTATGACAGGTATGTATATATGGCTCTCTGATATCTTCTCTACTTGATAATATCAAAAGATAGAATAATATTTCTGAAATCCAAGTGATTAAAAAAATGTAATGATTTTGAGACAATAAAATGAGGCAGATAATTACAGCATTTTAAATACAATAGTTAGCTTTGTTTTCTTGCTGTTTGGAAAAATAGCATGATACATCATATGCTGCAAGAAATGATTAGAAGCCACAGGGTACTTTTTAGTCTCTTCTATGATTTCAGTATTTTTCCATTATTCCACTGTTAATGAGTGTTCCCTTTATAATCAGAATAAAACAAACCATCTCAGTGAACTAGTTCGTGCTATAGAACTACATAAGTCTGATAAATATATTTGCTAGTCACTTAGCATTTTGCTGCACGTTGGAGGCCAGGACCATTAGTGTGATTCTTTGAGCATGTAGGAGAGGTGTCAGCACCCCTTGTAGTAAAGTTTTCGACAGTACTCTGTGAAGACAGCTTCCCTTTTCAAAAGAAAAGTAGCATGTCATTCTCTAACTCAGAGTTCGATTAATTGGCTTTACTTAACAAGTGATTCTTTGGAGGAGTAACAAAACTTGAATTTTTTGTTTTGTTAAATTTTTATTGTGAACTGAGTAAAGGTTTACAGACAGGCTCATCCGTTTTACATTCAACAAATCATACACCTGGTTTCATCTCAATTATTGCAATCCCCTCCATGTAACGACAGTTATCCTGCTTCCCCACTGTAGTTCCTGTTTTCATTCCACCCACCGTCCCATCACTTTTTAACTTTAGGTAAATGTTGCCCTTTTGATTTTGAATGGTTGACCATTCCATGATCAGCATACCTTACAAGTATTGTTGTCCACCACCACCACTTCAACCCCCACCTATATACCTTTAAAACTACTGTTTAAAATTGGGCTACCAGGGTGTTCCTTCCCAGACCTGAAGGGTGGTTAAGAGCCCTAGTCTTAGGTTCCTCAAGTCTCTTTCTGACCCATAAACCCAGTCTTTTTTTTTTTTTTTTAATAATTTTGAGTTTTGGTCCACATTTTCTCCTAATCTATCCAGGACCCTTTAATGTGAACCCTTTCAGA